ACGGTTTATTGAAAAAGTTTGCAGCCCGAAGGCTGAACATATACATTGGACATAAATGACTTATTACATACATAGGTGGTTTAACAAAAGCTTTCATTAGAGAAAGATGAAGGAACATAAGAAAATAAGGAGTCTGCAATAGGCCGGTTGGCCTGTGCATGGCAGCTCCTGTCGAGAGTTACTACCACTCTCTATCATCCATGAATCTATCTAGCCTCCTTTTGAAACTTTCCAGAGTTCCCGCACTTACTACAAAGTTGCTAAGCTTGTTCCACTCGTCCACCACCCTATTTGTGAACCAGTTTCTTCTTATCTCCCTCCCTAAACCTAAACTTATCCAACTTGAATCCGTTGCTCGAGTCCTATCCTGCTCGGATATTATAAGAACTTTATCTATATCCCCTTTATTGATTCCTTTCACCCACTTAAATACTTCTATCATATCTCCCCGCACTCTTCGTCTTTCTAGGGAATGCAAGTTAAGTTTCTTTAACCTATCCTGATATGGAAGGTTTCTAAGTCCCGGAATCATTTTTGTCATTCTTCGCTGCACCGACTCTAGTGAATTTATATCCATTCTATAATAGGGGCACCAGAACTGAACCGCATAATCGAGGTGCGGCCTAACTAGCGCAAGATATAGTTGCAATAAGACCTCTGCACTCTTGTTACTTACACTTCTAGATATAAAACCCAATACTCTGTTTGCCTTATTTCGAACATTAACGCACTGTTTTCTAGGCCGTAGGTCCGGGCTTACAAGTACCCCTAGGTCTCTTTCACAATTCGACTTCTCTAGGTTGATGTTGTTCAGGCTGTATACATTATAAGTATTTGTTCTTCCAATATTAAGTACGCTGCACTTGCTGGTGTTGAATTTCATTTGCCATTTTTCAGACCACCCCTGCAGTTTATTTAGATCCTCCTGTAATGCATTTGCATCCTGCCCTGAATTAATTTGCCGCCCTATTTTGGTGTCATCCGCAAACTTGCTTATGTCACTGCTGATCCCAGTATCTAAATCGTTTATGTAGATTATGAACAAGAGTGGGCCTAGTACTGACCCCTGGGGAACCCCACTGGTTACACGGCCCCACTCAGATTTAACACCATCTACGCTGACCCTCTGCGTTCTATCGGTGAGCCATGATTTTATTCAATTTAAAACTTTCCCCTCGATACCATGAGCCTTAATTTTTCTCAGAAGCCTCTGATGCGGTACTCTGTCAAATGCTTTGCTAAAGTCTAAGTAAATAACATCGTAATTTTCGTCATTATCTACTACCTCGAAGACTTTCCTAAAAAACGTTAGCAGATTTGTTAGACAAGATTTTCCCTTTGTAAACCCATGTTGAGAGTCGTAGATTAATTTGCTTTTCTCTAGATGCGATCGGATGCTATCTGCTATAATTGATTCAAGAAATTTCCCCACTACTGACGTCAAACTGATCGGCCGGTAATTTGACGCTGATGCTCTGTCTCCCTTTTTAAATATGGGTACTACATTCGCCTGTTTCCACAACTCTGGCACAACTCCAGTGTCTAATGATTTTGTAAATAAGTTTACGAGGGGTCCGCTAATCTGTTCCCTACACTCTTTTAAGACTCGAGGAAAAATTTCATCCGGCCCTGGGGATTTTGTGTTCTTTAGTTTATTTATCTTCTTAAGAACATCCTCTTTTCTGATGGTGATATTCTTTAATTTCTCCTCTTCCTTTCCCTTAAATATCAGTTCCACCTCCGGAATTTCATCGCAAATTTCTTCTGTGAAAACTGATAAGAAGTAGCTGTTCAATGCTTTGCTCATGTCTTCACTGCCATTTATCACTTCTCCCCTCCCTGACTTTAAAGGCCCAACTTTGTCCTTGACCTTTGTCCTATATACCTGGAAAAATCAGTGAACATACAGATTAATGTTCACACACGTAGATAATGTGAGCTGAGGTGTTGAACAGCAGACACGTAGTGTAGTAACTCCCTCACAGATGGCGTTATGAGGGGCATCACGTGGAGTACTAGTTCCCTCACAGGTGGTGTTATGAGGGGCTTGATGTGGTGTAGTAATTCCCTCACAGATGGTGCTACGAGAGGCCTGATGATGTAGTAGTTACCTCACAGATGGTGTATGAGGGGCCTGATGATGTAGTAATTTCCTCACAGATGGTGTTATGAGGGGCATCACATTGCGTAGTAATTCCCTCACAGTTGGTGTTATGAGGGGCATCACGTGGTGTAGTAATTCCCTCACAGATGGTGTTATGAGGAACGTCACATGATGCTGTAGCTTATGTTCTTATGTTCTTAACTCATTCCCTACGTGTGTCGTAGCATCATGGGGACACCACGTGGTCAGTTGTAACAGGACTTCACTCACTCAAGTGGGTGAGGTGTGGTCCCAGGCTTCTCTATCGTGGAGTCTCAGGGGAATTATCACTGGGTACCTGGGACCTCTGTGTGAAGGTTAGCTTGGGTAAGACTCAACTGCCGAGTTGTTTTTCACTGACCTAAGCACTGTTTACCACTATTCAACACTGGTTCCATTCCTTTCCCAAATGAAATAGTAACTTCTGGAGAGAACTTGTTGATATTCCGGTGGGGAGGAGGGTTCAGGGGAGGGAGTTGGTATGAGCCAACATAACAGTTGACGTGGCTGCTGCTGAGCAGCGCCAGGTGCGTCTGACCCGTCTTGACCCGTCGGTGGTCAAGTGTGTGTGTGTGTGTGTGTGTGTGTGTGTGTGTGTGTGTAGGTGTGTGTGTCTAGGTGTGTGTGTCTAGGTGTGTGTGTGTGTGTGTCTAGGTGTGTGTGTGTGTCTAGGTGTGTGTGTGTGTAGTGTGTGTGTGTGTGTGTGTGTGTGTGTGTGTCTAGGTGTGTGTGTTAAACTTCACTGGAAAAGAAACGAGATAAGAAAGAGTGGTTCAGACTTCTCCTGTTCATTTAATCTCTCGGTAAAAGTTGTTCGCCAGCACTTAGTTGCATGTTAGAGAAGGGTTAAGGTATTTCTGCGTCTCTCTATTTTCTGTCTGTCTGTCAGTGTGTCTGTCTGTCTGTCTGACTGTCTGTCTGATTTATATAGGGGAAATGGGTCATAGGTCAAACAAAACTTAACCCAGATTTTGGTTAATAATTCCTATATGATTAAAAAAATAGAGGTGAATCCTGGGGGCAGTCAAATTATATAGTGAGACTTTACAGTAATAAAAAAAAAATCCCGTGAAAAAACAAAACGAAAAAGCTTCACTAATAATGTAGAGAGAGAAATTAGAATCCCTTTTTATTTCGCTGGTGTTGCTGAGGTTAAAGGGTTACCACTACTGATGCCAGGAAAAATAGCATTCACCTGTATTGTCGGCGCTTGCAGTCGCTATTTATATTTGGAAACGACTCTTCAGGTATAAAAAAAAGGAAACTTATTTTTTTTTCACTCTGGAAAGTAAATAGAAATGTGGTAGGAAACAAAAAGTTTAAAGTGTCATAATTATGTATTTTGTTCCGATTACGGATTTAAAAATACAGTGTAGTGTAAAGTAAACATAAATTTTTCCATTCAGTCGTTCGCTGACCCTCGTAAATCTTGGTTACGTAGAGCATGAAATAAATTTTTATTCAGTGTGTGTGTGTGTGTGTGTGTGTGTGTGTGGTAAATGTGCTTGGACTTGTGTAAGCGTTGTATAAGAATTGAATAAGTTGAGGGTGAGTTATATCATTAGTAACATTAGTTACGGTGAACAAACATCAACAATATTTAAAAAAAAAAAATATTAATAATTCTTAAAAAAATTATCACATTGTAAACTTGTCACATTTCGTTGTGTTTGTCTTCTCGTTTGATTAATTTACTGTTGTTGGTATAATGATGCAGAATACAAGTGACCTTTGACATATATTAATACTAATAGTTAATTACATGTTATGAAGTTAATTGGATAAATCCCACAATTCTTGAATGTAGCCGCAGTTGTATGGCTTCTACTGTTGTTATATTCAGTATAGTATGAAACTTGATATCTGCTATCTCATTTGACTGTAATTAGCCGAGTTTCAGTAAACAACTAAAATTTCGACAATCACTTGAGTTGAAACATTGACAATCTCATAATCAGTTTAGTTTCAGCGTATAACTAAATATGTCAATACTAATCAGTAGAGTTTCGATAAGTACTAAAGACTTCAGCTATCAGAAGAGTTTCAGTTAACATTAAAAATATCAATACTTGTTCTAGTTTCAGTAAACACATCAGGTTTACAGCATACAGTAGAAGAAGACGTCATAAATTAACTGGATATAATGAAGAGAGTTTCAGTTAGGATACAGCAAAAGAAAATGGAGTATTTCTTAATATATTTTGATACATAAAATACACAGAAAGTTAGCAGAAAGTTTGTACTGTACACAAGATGTTTCTCCTGGGCATATTTCTGGGCTTACCGGGTATATATCTGTGCTCCCTTGGCATATACTGAGCTCATTGGGCATAATTCTGGGCTCACCGGGTATATTTCTGCGCTCACTTGGCGTATACTGAGCTCATTGGGCATATGCTGTGTTCACTGGATAATATTTTTTAGCTCTCTTGGCGTATACTGAGCTCACTTGCCGTATACTGAGCTCACCTGGCACATTCTGAGCTCACCTGATATATTTTTGTTTTCACTGGTTATACGCTGTGTTCGACACCGGCAACACACACACACACACACCCGCGTACACAGCAGCTGTACATAGCCTCCAGGGAACAGTACAACAGAATCACCGACACAGTCATCCATCACAGTAGAATAATTAACATAAGAGAGGTTCATTGTAATAATCTCATGAGGGTTTATATTCCGACTCCTTGGTATGTGTTGAGTCTACTGAACCGATGTATCTGCACTGTCAGGTTTTACGATGAATGTTGCAGTAAATCCCCTATAACTGTCAAGTCAAGGATTATTGAGAAAGTAATCGCCTCATATTTGTCAGATTAAGGTTATATATATATATATATATATATATATATATATATATATATATATATATATATATATATATATATATATATATATATATATATATATATACACACAATATGTGTGTGTATATGCCAAGTTTCTCACACGTGTCAGGGAGGGATTAGTGAGACATTTATCGTCAAACAACTATTAAGTTATGATTACCGACGCTGTAATGCCTCATACCTGTCAGTGTGGGATTACTAAAGCAGTAATCTCCCCGTAATTGTTAGATTAGGATTACTTATGCAGTGAATCTCCCACACCTGTCCGACTTGGATTACCGTGACATTAAGCTCCTTCACAACAATTGAGATGGGGTTACCGGCTGACACGCAAATCCCGTTATGTACTTATAAATCCTCCCACGATGTCATTAATCTCCAGCCACTATAACGCTCAGACTCTCATAGACTCACAGGTAAAATGTTCCCTCCACCTGAGTTGGCATAAGAGAACACCATTAGTTACGTTAAGAGCCCCACAGAAATATATCATTATCGTAAGTGAGTCAGTCAGTTACGTCCCCAAGCTAGGAAAATTTGGAAAGAAGAGGAGACCTGTACACTAAACATAGGTTGGGTTATATATATTTTTTTCCTTTATTTTTTATTATTAAAATCTCTGAGCTGTAACTATTAACAATAACATTTACAGTATGCCTTTTGTCAGATTATTGTAACATCAAATTAGAATTTAAAAAAAAAAAGCTTCGACTTATAGCTTGTTACACATTCCAATAAATATCTGTTGTAAACATTGAAACCATCGTTGATATATGTAGCAATAAAAGTCAACAGGTGACAATGAATGGGTTGTAACCCTATAATCTAAAATGGATCTCAGTAATTATCTCTTTAACATATACGGAGTCATGACATTAATTTACAAGAATTCAGATAAAAAAGTAATTTTTTTTTTTTATTGGAAAATTTCTGAAAAAATAAAATTATATATTTCCGTTTATTCTCGTGAAACATAAAGGCATCATTCAGTCTGTTCCTGTGTTGTGAGCAGACGACAAAACATCTTACTATAGATTACTGACCAAAGAATTTCTTTACTTCAGCCAGAAATAAATTTTTGTCTTAATTCATATTGAAATAACAAATAAACACTTACGATGCTTGAAAAAAAAACTTAAATGTTGGCTATGTCGAGAGCTCACAACACCACAGGAAAATGATCTCTCATTCTCTAATTACCAATCCCTTGTTAACTTTTTCTCTTACTGTTAACATAGCCACTAACAAGGTACATCTTCACCAGAGATAATCACACGAGATTACCATTTTTTTCTCGGTATTTATATGCATAATCTTTCACTAATTCAGATACATTACCCATCGTTAACTTTACACAATACACCTGTTATAAACCACTTGTGACACCTTGTATATGTAGTACCTGTGTAATCTGTTCCCGTCGGCTGCTACCTCTGTTGTCTTGCATAAATAATCACCAAAACAACTAGACACCGAAGGATATTGACTGAGTTATTGTCTTATATTGAGTATTTTCGCTCGTATATCGACAAACATTAAGAAACTCTGACAGAATTCAATATTCTCTAATCATCCATATATATATTTTTATTATTTTGGTCTGCTGGAAAGATATAGTTATTTACACAATGAGAGCATGACACATCACCATCTGTAACATAGCCATTAGCGAATGAGATTTAGAAGAAAGAATAAGAAGTCAGGCAGAGAATTGAAGAGAGACACAGAGAACGACAAATTAAAAGACTGCATTTACTTACATAGAAACTATTTACATTGTTTTATTTTTTTTTACAATTCCCTCAATTCACGGAGAGACACTATGGGTAGTACAATAACCTGGAAGCTGACAATAGGTGATCTTGTGTGAGATGAACACTTAAATGGCCACTTTGATGTCTTGTACACTAGAGGTATGACCCAGGTGCAATGAGGAACCACAAAAAAAAAATATTCTCACCAGGTGTTAATATTCCATTGTCGGAAGTAAATTTTTCTTCGTATAGAGATTCAAGTTTGTCTTCTGGATTAATGTGTAGAAAGTTTCAGAAAAAGTTTGTTGCTTTTGGATTATAGTTTTGTATATATTTACTTTGTTAGATTTTGTAGTTTATAGTTTGTTTGTTTTTCGTTTATATATATATATACAGGAAAAACAAAACATCGACTACATCACATAATTTTGGATAATCTGATGTATTTTTAAGACTCATTCAGAGAAACATTTTGTTTTTATTAACATGCGGAAATATTTTTTTTAGTCTCTCAGCGTTATCTCCGAACGTTATTTCCAAGAGTGGTCTGTTATCATGGTCTCCAAGCGTGTTTTTTGTTTTGTTCTGCGGATTCCTGGTGTGGTTTCTCGACGTGGTTTCTCAACTTGATCTTCCTTAGTGATCTCCCAGTACGGTCTGCCAACGTGGTCTCATCTCCTAGTGGGGATATTCAATGGTGGTCTCCCAATGATATCTCCTAACGCGTCCACTGTCTGGCAATAGAAAATATTTATCTGAACTGTTACCATAAAATAAATTCACCTAAGTGCATACAGTCATAACACACACACATACACACACACACACACACAGGTACATATAAAAGCATTACTCGGGGGCAGAACAGGACGGAACATAGTAATTTTAAATGTGTTATTGGTGAGTTTATTCCCCCGTACCAAAGTTCCTGTTTCGGTTTAAATGATTCTGGTTTTTCGTTGCCTGTAATGTGGAATCCAAAAAATATCCTGTGGTTAGGTTTTTTGTACAAGATTTACACTACCTGAGTGTTCTGTAAATCTCTCCCCTTAATCACAGTCGTTTTATATCACAACACAAACCAACTCAAAGAATACCACATACATACATACATACATGCATACATACATACATAGGCATAAATACTCACCTTGTAGGACACTAAACAGAGCTCTCATGGCTACCACCATGAGCACAGGTGACAACCAGCGTCCTGGCTGAGGTACAGCCAGGGGGGTCCTGGGGACACAGGTCGGGGTGCCCCTGAAGCACGTGCTCACTCGGGGACCTCCGGATGCAGGAGGAGGAGGGAGGGGTGTCACGCCCTTCTGGGTAATACGAAGTGGCAGTGCGGGGAGGTAAGAAGGAAGAGGAGGAGGAGCGAGGACACGATGTTGCTACTCCTCCTCCCTCAGAAGGAAGGATGCCGGTGGTGGTGGCGCTGGCGGTGATGCCGGGGTCTTGAAGAAGGGCGTCCGTCTCCCGCGCCACCAGAACACCCTGGCGGAAGAACATCAACACAACGTAATATCACATCCTTAGAAACTATCTGTCGTATCAGCAGACAGGAAACAAACTCTAGCTGACACCACACTGTCTTGTAAAACTCTCCTAGTTCTTTTCTACGTCGCTTTGTGGGTGAATATTCCTCTGTGTAAATGACAAATATTTTACTGTTGCCTGTACACATGTTTACTCTTCCTGCAGTCTTCTGTGTCTATTCCAATGGGGATTTTTCAAGTAATGTAATTCTAGTGTCTGATATGTATCGTGTACAGCTATTACCATCCCTGACTGAATCAATCTGTTACATGTTAATGACTGACAGAGGCATGCATGGTGAATCAGCTGACCAGAATATTTACACAGTCATGAGCTATCATGAAGGATGCTGACAAATACATTATATTCTACATACATAACTGTAAGATAATTTTCCTTCTGGCTTATTAAAAACACTACTCTTGTCTCCACACAGCGGCCAGACAACGCCTCTGTTGGTCATTACGATGTAAATGTATGCAGCATATACGAGCAAAAAAAAATCCAAATAATGCATTGTATTACACGGTCAAATATTTCACTGATGACTTTCGTGAAAACCTGTTAAAAAGTTACTGAATTTTAATTGTTGTGTTCATGTTTAGAAGGTTATTATGTTATTATCTTACCCGACACTAGACAATTATCATACATTGTTGATAGTAACGAGTGACCTTTACAGTAATTTGTTAACAAATGTATAGTGAAAATAAATAAATAGTATTTGTAAAAGAAGACAAGCAACATGAGGCTGTGTGTTAAGGTGTGGCTGTATAATTATGTGTTCATGCGGGCATAGTATGTGTGTACCTTTGTGTGGTGTGTCTGTTTTTGTGTGTTTTTGCGTGTCTAAGTATTTTTATTCACACGAGTGTTTTCATACATGTGAGTATGTATATAAATAGGTGTTGTGTATGTATTTGTACGTAAACGTTCATGAGAGAGAGAGAGAGAGAGAGAGAGAGAGAGAGAGAGAGAGAGAGAGAGAGAGAGAGACTTACGGTGGTGAGGGGGGTGGGTGCCGGGGTGATGTGGAAGGAGCCGTCGTGGGCGCCCCTGTACTCTGCTACCAGCTGCTGGGTCTCTCCGCCAGACTGACTATCTGGAGGTACACAGGCAGCGAGTCGTGAGTGTTGGTCAGGGCTGAACTATCAACAACTTCAACGTCACATTAACTTACCTGTGTTTGTGATTATTTGGACCTCCCCCCCCCACCCCCTTCCCCCCAAAAGGTGCATATTTTAACACACACACACACACACACACCTATACTACAAATACACACATCTCCAATTATAGGTTAAGTGATTGTCAACTATTTTTCCTTCACATATAATAATAACAGCTACAGGGGCATACATAATTCTCCTCAGATAATACTACAAATCACTTCATCCACATTTCAAATAATTTTTTTTCTCGATTTACAATTTCGCCAAGATGAAATATAGGATTCACATCACCTGGATATTGGATGACTGTCAACAACTGAAGGTTTAAAAACTGACGGGGAGGATTGGACCTTGTGCAGGGGTGGGTCTTCCTCAGCAATATCTCATGCCTCTGTAGGATTGCTGTCTGGAGCGGCTATCATTATTCCAGTGAGCAATAACTCGCACGGTTTAAGAGCACTTGAACCTACTATAATCTTGCTCTTTAATGTCTATGTTTACAAGGTCTTGAAAGATATGTCTAAGGGGGGAAGAGGGAGAGGATCGTTATCTCTTTTTTTTCTTTTCTCCTTTTCTTTTTATTTTTAGTTAATGATAAATCTCACTGCCGTTTCCACTTTCAAAATTGAAGTTCCGTATGAGAGAGAGAGAGAGAGAGAGAGAGAGAGAGAGAGAGAGAGAGAGAGAGAGAGAGAGAGAACACACTAGAATCAAGGTAGTGGGCACGTATTCATCACGACGAGTGGCATCTTGGTAGTGATGGCCTCAGCCGTCATATACCTGCTGGCCACACCTATAACTTTGAGGTCACAGTCGTCGTCAATACAGAGGTGGAGGGTTGCAGTGGCCTTATGAGACGCAGGTTATGAATTACAACAAAATAAAAGGAGAATTATGAGAAGCAACGAAACCAAAAATAGACCTTATAGTATTCAATAAACCTCCCCATTAATTTGATAGCCATGTAATTTATGTCCAATATAATTCGCTCTATCGGAAATATAAGGAAAAAGAGCACACAGGTAGGAAGGAGTGTGTGTATCTATGAGAAGCTCTGCCTCAGTGAGTCAAGATGACGCGACAGTCGGGTGAAATATGCATAGACTTGAAGAGTGGCCGAGTGGGCGGAGAGATACTGCCGGGGAGCGATGATGCATGGCTGCCTTGTATTGATGATGCATTGATGATATATGCGCAGAGACCAGGAAAGAGAGTGAATGGATGCAGCGAGTGTGTTATTCTGATGTATGAAAATAAGAACAAGAAAATCATAATTTATTTTTTTATTAATGGATGTAAGGTAGAGGATTCGTGACAGATGCATTTAATGGATCTCGGATAGAAAAGCAACAGGAGTAGGAGTAGGAGAGGGCAGGATATTAATGCACAGAGGAGAGGGTAGGATATAAGTGCACAAAGGAGAGGATAGGATATGAATTCACAAAAGAGAGGATAGGATATGAATGCACAATTAGACAAAATGAATATTGTATAATCTGGTTGGCGGCCACACATGAATTGGATAAGCAACATTTTAGGGGAGCTATGGCGGAGTGAATACGGCGCTCGCCTCTTGTCTTAAGGGCGGTTGGTTCCTCCGGTTATAAATGAGTGACGTGAAGGTGGTCAAATATAATGCGGTCTAAACATCTTAATTATGTACAGTACTGATAAATGGTTTACTCCAGTGTAATGTATTCGTTTAGCCCTTGACAGGCAGTTTTAGAGAAGCAACTCTCATAACAGTTTAAGAGTAATGGGAATACTAAACAGACTCAAAGTTTTGATTCCATAAAGATAATTTTTTATTTATGGAGAATCGTTCCACACGATCAAGGAAGCGAAATAAAATGATGATTTACACAGTAGAACACCTCACCTCTTGACACACACACACACACAACCGTATAAGAGTCGTGTCTACACCAATTTCCCTTTTAGACGAACCAGACGTATTAAAGGAATATTGACCTTGGCACTCGAGATATCTTTAGGCTCACGTGTTAAAGGTTTGGATCTCCTACGGCGGCTCTGCTGTGCTAGTATGTAAATACTGAACGATTTTTTTTCTATTTCATCGTCACTAGTCTGAGGATCAAAGTGAGTAGCTCCAAGTTAAAGATAAACACCTCAGGCGGCAGTATATACAGTATATGTGACTAAACTGTGGTACATCTTGGTTCCGCATCCTGAGAGAGAGAGCGAGAGAGAGAGAGATGGGAAATATCATAACTATGGGGACATAAGGCAACTGGTGACTTAACACGGTCACTTCTCCTGTGTAAGATGGATAAGCTATTTGCCACACCAGTACACCTCTGCCTGAAACTATACCGGTACTGCTCACTTGTCGACCATTCCAGCGCAGCAAGTCGATGTACCGAGGAACAGCTGACGGTAATAGGTTTAGTCATGAGTGTTGGAGACCATCCGAGATAGCGAGAAGTGTTGGAATTATCTCCAACTTCGTATTTACGTCTCTCACTAGTTCCTAATTAGACTTGTTATTTGTCTTAGGTAATTGTTTCCATGGCAGTAAGAAAGACAAATAATTTAGATTAATGTCGAACTTGTACATCACTGTAAGATTAAACAAATATTTATATCTCCTGTGTTTTTCCTCTCTTTCTCTCTTCATTTTTGTTTGTCAGTGTCTGTCTCTCCCATTCCCCCGTCTATATGCAGTATATGTCTGCCCCCCCTCTCTCTCCCTCCCTCTCTCGCTCACTACTCACCACTTTTCACGAGGATAATATCAGGTCCTTGTTGCTGCTGCTGAACGAAGCCTCCATCGTCGGGTTTAGAGCCGGGCGCTGCCTTATCATAGACTATCTTGGTTTGGCTGTGGGAGTGGGTGTTGGCGGTGCGAGCGCGCACGACTAACACCAGTACAACAGAACACACCAACAGAGAGGCCACCACGCCCACCACTACGCCTACGATAGGCGCTAAACTTGCCAGTGGGCTCGATTCTGATGCCTCGGCGGCGGCAGCGCTCGTCTGCTTCTCAGCCACGTCTATGGGCGTGAGGTAGACGAGGACGGTGGACGGGGCGGCTCCCTGGGCGTTGGAGGCCACCACTACCAGGTGGTATTCCGTGCCTGGTGCCAGACCCGTCACCGTGAAGTGTGGCTCCATCTGGTCTTTGAGTGAAGCCAGGAGCTTCCCCGGGCCCACAGAGCCATGGGTCTTGCTAGAGCCCGTAGAGCCCTTGGGTGTGGAATGACCCTTAGGGGCGTGACGAACCTCGAGTGTAAAGGTCTGGGTGAGTCCCCCACTCCAGCCAGCCTGGCAGGCCACCACCACTTCCCCAGCAGCGCTGCCGTTGTGCCAGGCGCTGCAGTTGTGTACTGGCTCTGGCACACCTGTGGGGGAGACAAACACAACCACAGTGAGAGCACATAACCTAACTTGTTAGTCAAGAGATATGACATTCCTGGAGGGGGAGGAGAAGTAAAAGAGGAGGGGAGAGATAGAGGTGAGGAGAAGATAGATGTGAGGCAAAGATATATCTGCTCTACAATTTTTCTTAAACTTTTTATTTTCTGAGCCGTTCATATGTATGTAAAAAAAAACTTAACTGGAACATAATAAAAAGACAAGATAAAGCAGCCAACTCCATAATGAGGGAGATGGAGCCAGTAAGAAATCCAGTTTACAAGTTAGAGAATTCCAGCATAAAGAGCGTCAGACAAAAGTACACAAAACTATGTAAAGGCCTTGAGTAACGCTCGAGTATCTTCTCAAAGACACAAAAAATTTTTATTTTCTTTGAACTGCGTGAGTGGCAAGGGGAGATGCACGTGACACCTCCAGCGGCACAAAGAGAACTCCGCCAACACTGTGTCTTTTACTCAAGCAGAAGGGTCTGGCTTGCACCTTGTGAGAGTGAAGGAGTGTAAAAATTTCATGGGTGTTGTGAGGTACCTGGTCGCCTGACATTTGAAAGGCTGCAGGTTTTAAGTAGGAAGTGAACAGCGAGAAAGAGAACCACAGACACAAACTAAGTTCCGGACTAGGAATTAGACCCAAATTATCCTACTGTTACCGCAGGGCAGAGTAAATAGGTTAAGTTAGATTAGGTTAGGTCTGATTAGATTCCAGGTCTGGGTATTAGTGTGTCCTAGATCCACTGTCGTAAGGAGTAAAAGGATGAGATGGAGGAAGACTGGTGAAGGTATAGTGTTATAGTCTTTTGTAATAGAGAAGCATAGAGAAGTAGCAAGCTAAGCGTCTTTATAATATATCAAGGAAGGGATTATCTGCCTTATCGGATTCTTTACCACTGTAGTAGAAACAATCGAATAATGAATGGGGGAGGAAGATGGTTAGATAGAGAATGATGTAAAATCTAAAGAACAATAATTATCAGATGAATTTGTAGATTACGCAAAATGATAACCCCTTGTGGCTGCATATATGGGGGGCGATAATTGCGGCTTCGCAGATACTGAACAACAGACTCACCTGCCGGGACAATATGGAAGACGCAGGGCTGGTGCTGGGTGTCCACTTGGTTGCGGCCCCAGCACAGGAGGGACCCGAAGTCGTGGTGTGTCTGCGGCGTATACACCACCAGGCTGCGGCCGCGCCCCGAGTGGACTCTGTCCTCCGGGAGCTCCGCAAACTCACTGGAGGTATTGAAAGCCCAGCGGAAGGTGGTGGCCTCCGGGTGAGCCTCCACTTGGCAAGTCACGTTGACTGGCTGCTGACGTCCCCCGCCGTAGACCCACTTCTGGCCGGCGGAGCACACGGGGGAGACTGTTGGGAGGGATATATATATATATATATATATATATATATATATATATATATATATATATATATATATATATATATATATATATATATATATATTATATATATATATATATATATATATATATATATTTGGATTATCTGATGTGTTCTAATATTTTACGACGCTATAAAAGAACAATAAACCACTTTAACTCCTTCCCGTTGCACTCCAACTTCATAACACTCGGCAAGAGGGCACTGGGGAGACTGTTTGGGAAGGATATATACGGCACCTTTAACTTTTACCGTGTTCTGATTTCACGACCCTTGGCGAGAGAACACACGGCCGCTTAACTTCTGCCGCGTTCTGACTTTACGACACTTTACAAGAGAATACATGACCGCCTAACTTCTCCCGAGTTCTAACTTAACAAACACTTTACAGCAGAACATAAAAGTACTTAAATTACGACTCGCCTCTTGCCTTTCGACTCTGTACAGAGGTGAAAAGTACGACCACTAAACTGCTGTTGTATTATAACCTGAATTTGTAGAGAAAAACCTAGTTCCATAACTTCTGGTGTGTTATAAACCAACAACAATTTATGAGGACAGAACACAACGATTTAATTCCTGTTGTGTTTTAAGTTTAAGACACAACGCGCAGGGACACACGGTACTGTCTTGAATTCCATTAGTGTTGTAAGTTCGTGGTATAACACAGCCCTCGACAGGTGATGTAAAGATGAACGAGAACACACGAACCAACAAAACTTCCTCTGGATTTAGGTTGTCTCCGGTGTGAGCTTGTACTGACCTCCCTCTGGCGTTTGTTTTACCAGAAATATTTTATTCCGTCAGTGTGTTGGGATATTGTTTCTCACACAGTTTTGATTTGACGTGTGTGTGTGTGTGTGTGTGTGTGTGTGTGTGTGTGTGTGTGTGTGTGTGTGTGTGTGTGTGTGTGTGTGTGTGTGTGTGTGTGTGTGTGTGTGTGTTAACGTTTAAAACACATTATGTTTCATGTGACGCAATGTGTCATATGCCAGACTTGATCTTTACGAGAAATTACTGGATGTGACGCAATGTATCCCAATCAACATTTACATTAATTATGAAAATTCTCCTAATCAACGAATTTTGTCCTAATCCAATATGTGTGATATGACGCGACGTATCTCTAGAAGGAGTGTTTATTATGTGTTCATGACGACGTGTGTTGCCAAGATGTCATACTAACACTCGTGACAGTAACCACACCAGACCGAGAAGACACAATCATTTTAAACCACCAACTCAAAAAAAAAAAAAACACTACTAAAATGAAGTGAAATAACAGAACCCAATATTGCTCTTGACAACAAAGCGGTAAAAAAACAATTGGGATAATATATATGTTTTTTAGAAGTAATTTCCTATTCACGTAATTCACAACAAGTCCCGGATTGCGCGAAAATACTCAATGGTTTGTTTTGTTGTTTTTCAATGTAATGTAATCTATCATCATGCAGCTGGTTGTAACGTGATGGAAAATGGGAAATTATATACATATATAGTTTATGCATGAAACCCTACCCCCTCCCCCAGATAGAGATCAGGCTGAAAATCAAACTGGAAGGGTACGGAATTCGGGGAAATGTCCTAGCGTGGATAGAAGACTTTCTACATGACCGCAAGCAATGTGTGGTGATTAATGGCACGAAATCGTCATCTGTACCTGTAACAAGTGGGGTACCGCAGGGTAGTGTATTGGGCCCGCTGTTGTTTGTTTGTTTCATAAATGATATGCCTGACGTTGTACACTCCTCCATACAAATGTTTGCCGATGACGCCAAGTTATTTCGGGAAATTAAGAACCAAGCGGACTGTGAAGAGCTGCAGAAGGACCTCTGTGGGCTCCAGGAATGGTCGAAGGAATGGCTGCTGAGATTCAATGTCACGAAGTGTAAGAGGATGCACCTGGGGCGTACCAACGGTAAGGAGGCGTACCATATGTCCCAACGGGATGAAGAAAATGTACTAGTTGAGACTGTGTGTGAGAAGGACCTAGGTGTGTATGTTGACAATGAGCTGAAGTTCTCGGGCCATTGTGAGAAGAAGGTAAATCAGGCAAATAAATTATTGGGTCTTATAAGAAGGTCGTTCAGATATCTAGACGGTCCGTCCCTCGTGACGATCTTCAGGAGTGAAGTGCTTCCCCATCTGGAGTACTGTCACCCCATCTGGTCCCCGAGATATGCTAGGGACTGTCAGTTGGTTGAAAATGTTCAAAGGAGGGCCACCAAACTGGTGCCTGCACTTCGGCATCTCAGCTACCCTGAGAGATTGGAGCGCCTGAACTTGCCTAGCTTATACTACAGACGGGCAAGGGGGGACCTAGTTGAGGTTTATAAGCATCTCAGGGGGCACTACTCAGTTGAGTGTCCTTACTTGGAGCTGGCGGACGCTCGCCCCACAAGGGGTCACAGCTCAAGATTGAAGAAGCCGCAAGTCCGGAAAACCGTGAGGGCAAACTTTTTCGGAGTGAGGGTTGTAAACTCTTGGAACAATCTACCAGAGAGTGTTGTGACGGCACCGAGTGTGAGCTCTTTCAAGAGAAGACTTGACCAACACTGGAGCGGGTTCAGGTACATTCAGGAGCCGGTGCATGCCCAGTATTTGCCAACAGTGCGTGACAGAGACGTGACCGATCGCCCGGGCGGCTAGCGAGCCGACCTTTTGGTGAAGAATATAAAGGAAAAGAGTCGTGACCGATCGCCCAAGCGGCTAACAAGCCGATCAGTGGCGAAGAGGATAAAAGTAAAAGTATGTATTATTCAGTACTGTCCGCCCTGATTGACAGTGTCTCGTGTGTGTGTGTGTGTGTGTGTGTGTGTGTGTGTGTGTGTGTTTTCTTTCTTAAGTACTGTGGTGGAGGTATTGATGGTTGGTATATGAGGCTGTGGTGACTTATATGTCTGTATGTCTTATCTTACTTTTTATCTGTGGCTATAAGGTTTTTTATTTTTGGTCTATGTCTGCCTGGTCTGTATGTCTTGATAACTGTTTCCGTTTCGTTTTTTTTTATATAATCTGTCTGTCTTTGTCTCTCTCTCTCTCTATGTTTGTATCTGTCTGTCTGTTTCCATCCCTGTCTATCTATCTGTTTCTGTTTCCATCCCTGTCTATCTGTCTGTCTGTTTCCATCCCTGTCTATCTGTCTGTCTGTCTGTTTCCATCCCTGTCTATCTGTCTGTATGTCTGTCTGCTTATCATTACCCTCCTTCAGTATACTCACACTTGACGTTCAACTGTAGAGCATTAGAGGTAGCAGAGCCGTGGACATTGAGACCTCTGCAGGTATAGAGTCCCGAGGAACGGCGCCCAACCTTCTGTAGTACGAGGCTCTGGTTGCTCTGTATCACCCCGGCTGTCACATTCTGATGTAGCTCTATACCCTGGAAACAAAGAGCGAGAGATACCTGTGAGAGCTCTATAATTAACGTTTGAAACACCTGTTGTGGTTAATTCATTGCGGAACACCCGTTATAGCCCCGTAATTAGTAGTGAAACACCTGTTATAGTCCCGTAATTAGTCGCGAAACACCTGTTACAGCCCCGTAATTAGTGGCGAAATACCTGTTATAACTATAATAAAAGTCTAACATACGTTGTAATTCTGTTATTAACTGAGAAACACCTGTTGTAGCTTTGTTTTTAACGGGGAAACACCTGTTGAAAGCGTGTAAATGCTGGCCAAAAACCTGTTGAAACGCTGTAATTAACGGGGATTTACCTGTTAAAGCTATGCAATTAATTTGAATTAACGCTGATAGCTTTTGTAGTCAATAGTGACCTAACCAGATGTAGCTTTGCCATTAATATTGTACCTCTGTAATTAACGACGAAGCCTCTGTTGTAATTAATGGTGAAGCATATGTTATACCTGATGTATCTCTGTAATTAAAGGTGAGGTTCCTTCTTGTAAACCTGTAAATAAGAGTAAGACACCTTCGTTATTTTGGTAATTAAGCACGTGTCATTTATTGCAGCTCTGTAATTACCATAGAGTCGTATTATGTAGTTATATTGTTTTTAGAGTCAAATTCTGTAACTATATATTTATCAACTAATCATGTATCGTAGTTTTGTATTTCTCAGTGAGGCCTATTCTGTATCACTAAATAAAATTAGGTTCATATCTTGTAGCTCTGTAATTATGAAAGCCCGATTCAGCAACACTGTAATTAACTACGTCGTATTTTGAGACTCTGTAATCATCAGAGTCATGTTCCGTAGCTTTGTAATTATCATAGTCGTATTCTGTATTTGGGTTATTTTGTACCTGTCCTCAGCCTGTAATTTACTGAGGATCACCAGTTAGTTTTGTAGTGCCCCACAGTTAAGCTTTCACCCCTACACGCTCTTCCTCACTCTCTGGTCCCTCTGTTGCCTGAGTGTTGACAGTCACGCGTGAGCCACACCCTCACACACACACACACACCTGAATGTATTGTACAGTCTCATACAGTCATGAGGTTACTATATACAGTTTCTCAGTTATGGAATTATATGTACAGTCTCTTACAGTTATGAAGTTGCTATATACAGTCTCTTACAGTTAACCTGTGTTCTCCACCCTTCTCATCTACGGTAATCATCCACCAGTTACCACTTGGCGACAGTCACTCCTCCATACTATAATTAACAGTCACCCACACACAGAAATGTAATCTCAACCTCTGTTAACAGTTAGTAAATAAACTTGATTCTTAACTCTCAGCCTATACAGTTAATTATCCAACAATCTTTCCTATGCATCGGTTACCTCACTCATACTACAGTTAACAGTTACCCAGAGCTACAGATTTTCCTCCCTTGTGGTTAACATTGAATGATTATAAATGTGTTATTTTCTCTCCCTCTCACCTGAGCTGATAATCAATATCTGTGCGGCTGGTCGCCTCTACCTGTAATCAGCAAGGCCAGGTGTGCTCTACCCTCCTCCCCCCCCCCCACCAGGTGTAACTCAAGACAAATAGTGGTGAGGGAGAGAGTGGACGCCTGGTAAATGATCACCCTAACTTTTGTGGTTACTACAAGAATAAATAATACTTCTTTATACTTTTACACAAAAAAGTAGATTCCTTCAAAAAGACGAGTTTATTCTAATGCCATTCAGGAAGCTCTTTAGAAAATAGAAGGAAAATTAGCCCACTGGATTGTACTTATCACCTTTAAATTTACACGTGTTGTAAATCCCTTGTCAGTCCTACACTCAGAGAAGTAAATAAAAGGTTACGATACCTATGTCTTGTGAAACATTGAATAAAAGACAGTGATAGGGGAATATTTTCTGTCTGCCAACCTATCAGAAACAGTCATGGTAGTTCTTCCCCTCCAACACACCCTCTATTATCATTTACATTCCATTATTTACGATACATTTACAATATCTTTCGTGGTTTTTTTTTCAAAGTAAAACAATTCACACTTGGTAATTATGTCGTGTCACTCGTCTCCTCCTCTCCTGCAACATTACGTAACCAACATTAACTTTCCATGATCCACGCGTTGGTTTGAAATGTTTTAGTCTTGTTTCTTACCGATGTGTGTCATTCTTAAGTGGGAAAGCTCATTCTTCTGTAGTAAGACGTGTGTGTGTGTGTGTGTGTGTGTGTGTGTGTGTGTGTTTTGACCTTTCTGATATTACTGAGGTTTTTCTTTCTTTTTTATTATAATTTGATGGTATTTATTCTACACCTACACCCTCCTCCTCCTCTTCCACACAAGTTTACTCTACACCTCCACCCTCTCACTCCACACACGCTGACAATGTACCTACACTCTCCTCCTCCATGCACACATTCCCTCACAGGTATTTTCATTTCTCCTCTCTCCATTCTCTCTTGTTTTCTCGCTGCCGCTTCTCTCTCCATCTCTTTGTCTATTTATGCCTGAGTTTATTCCTCCAAAATGACTAATATTTCCCACACACTTTTATTTCTAAGGGAAAAAAATTTGTCGACAGTAGTTTTTTTTTCCCATGTATGGTGTATGGTATAAACCCCTGTATGTAATTTCTAATAACTAAAACAGCTTGGAGGGGAAAAAAATCTGGTGTGCTTTTTTTCCCCCCGGCTGAGAACATCCTCCACCAGAGAAAAATATTATCACGGGATCAAACTGAAGATCCAATCCGAGATCTAGCAGGAATTGTGATATGAAGTGGGAGAGAAGCTATTTCCTTTAATACTCTTACTACTCTCCTAGATCACTAGACCTCTCTCTCTTTTCTCTCTCTTCTCTTTCTCTTCTCTCTTTATCTCTCTCTCGCTCACACACACACACACATAAAAAAGTTTTCTTTGAAAGCTTGCAGTAACAGAAAAGGTTTTACATTTACTCTGTCCGGAAAAGATCGTAATGAAGTGAACAAGTGTTGACAGACAGACAGGCACTGGAGGCTTGACGGTACTAGATGGCCGTATTTTTGCTTCGTTCTCGCTCGTTTTCCTGCTGCTGGTATCATCCCTTCTATTGTCTGCCTTCCTTGGATTCTCTCTCTCTCTCTCTCCTTTTCACTTGAATTTACTGTCACGTTTCCCTGCGATATCGTTTGAAATACTGTGTATATATTTTATTATATTCTGGTTTGAAGGTAAGGTGTGTGTGTGTGTGTGTGTGTGTGTGTGTGTGTGTGTGCGCGCGTGTGTGCGCGCGTGCGTGTGTGTGTGTGTGTGCGTGCGTGTCATTTCTCTTAGTGTTGTCAAATTCAAGAATACTTTACTGCATCTACATATATTATGAAATTCCATTTTAATTTTAAGGTGAGTGGGAACACGAGGGATGCTAGAAGCTCTAAAACACTGGAAAAAATATTTAATTGAGTTTTCAGGTTTATAAAGAGTTGTCCTAGAAACAGTTGTAGGTCTGTCTCTTGTTGAATACACGTCTCCCGCTTACTGTGTAAAAATGTTGATTCACTTTTACAACACACCAGTTTCAGAACCCTCCCATTTTTCCCCTTTCTTTTAACATTTTTTTATTGTGTTTTTTATCCTATCTGCTCCAGTCTTTGTTTACCAACAGCTCCTATTTCATCATTTTTTTTAAAGGCAAATTTGCACAGCTGAGTCTTTTTTCGTTAGATGTTGAACCAACCTGTTGTAGATCTGTTTTGTTACTCTGTTACCCAAAGGATATTGTGGAGTTGGTAGAGATCCTGTGTTTATCTCTCTATCTCTCATAGGATTCTTCTCTCTCTCTTTCTCTCTTATCATCACTTACAAGTCGATTTTAGTGTTTCTCAAGTCCAATACTATAAATAATCGATGTTACATGTAGTTAAGTGGTTAATTCGGAAGTTAGAATGAGAATAACGTTGGTAATGGTTAAGTGAGTAAATAAGTCTGGTTGTCTTAGCGCCTCCGAGAGCTCTTCTTATCCTGACTGACTCAAGAGATTTTTCCCAGCCAGTCCCATGACCACCTATTGTCTTACTCGATCTTTATTGACTCAGTATTATTATTATTATTATTATTATTATTATTATTATTATTATTATTATTATTTATTTCTGTTAAAGCGACATCACTTGCATTCTGTTTTAAGTATGTTTGTAGAATTTCCCTCAAAATACAATTGTTTTCTCTTGTATTAATAAATAAATCTTTGAGTTTGATGAAGTAGACTTACAAAATATATACAACGGAATCTGAATATATACAGAATTCATATACACAACGAGATGAAAATACATAGGAATTACATACACAACCAGAATCAAATACATTAAATTATATACACAACGAAATATGAATACTGTACATGGGATTTATACACACAGCGAGATACGAATACATAATCACTGTAGCGTATACTCAACGAGATGCAATTCATACAACGATGGACCAACACATACGAAGTCTACCAATCATACACCAGATTCATACACAATCAAAGATTAATACATAACACAGGATATACAAGATTGAATATAAATGAACAAGAGAGCTTAGCATAATTATTGGTCAACACAAATATATGAAAAACCGAATGTAGCACACACACACACACACACACACACACACACACACACACACACACACAGATCGTGTACTCAGACCTTCAAGACGAATCTATTAATAACACGTGCGACCATCGGATCAATGAACAGTGTACAAGATATCAGAGAACGACCCTGACACACAAATACTAATAAATAATGAGTCTGGGGTAACTGCTACTTGTCATCTGTATATTAAATGACAGAATTGTGTTGTAACGTTAATATTCTGTCATTGGTGGTCGTTGATATGTCTTCTGGTGATATTTATGTCGTCTTGTGTAGAAAATGACTTAGTGATTTATGATGAAAGATACGTTACGTTGATGTAATCTTAAATACAATATAAAAGTGATTTATTCATGTGGTAAGGATTAAAATATTTTAAGTGGGGTTCAATTGTCAGAGGGACGTTTATATTGGGTTTACCTTATTTCTTATTAATAGTTGATGTAATTAAAAAAATAATCAAATATGACTTCCTATAAGCCTCCTCTCCCTCGGGGTGTTCGGCTTATACACTTCTGTGTTGTTTACTTGCGCCAAAAAAGATAAAAATTGCAGTAGGTCGAGAATAACAGACAATTTTTGACGAAAGAAAAATGGCTCGTGTCCCGTCGAATGTTTACCCAAGTAGAAAGTCTTGAGAACATGACCATTTCTCTTCCTGAATTTAGTGTAAGTCATGAAGGCTCCATGTTAACAGATGCCAGAACCTTTCGCCTCAGGGTGAAACATGCTGACAGCTGAGTGAATGTATTTATCACAGCTGCCATGTGCAGCATTACTACAGTACTGCAGCAATACTAATGTGAATTATTGTAGTGAATCTGTAGAGTATAGAAAGAGAAGAATATTGCTCCTACTACTACTACGGGTAATAATAATAATAATATAATAATCATAATAATCATAATAATAATAATATTAATTATAATAATTATAATTATTATAATTATAATAATTATAATAATAATTATAATAATTATAATTAAAAGAATTATAATTATAATAAAAATAATCGTCATCGTAATAATAATCGCAATTATAATACGTAATAATAATAGTCGTTATAAATACTTAAAAATAATCGTCATAATAATAATAATAATAATAATAATAATAATAATAATAATAATAATAATAATAACGTAATAATAACATAGAAGGAAAAAAAAATAGTTAACTCACTGAATTCCGTTTAATCCTAAAGGAATTCAGAGGGAAAGAATGTAATGTTTACCTCTGAAAATACTGTCAAGAATAAAGAGGAGAGACTCAAAAGCGTCGAGCCCTGACACTGAGGAACCACTGCACGCTAGAGACCCCGGCAGTGTTATGTTGCAGGCATATATAAATAGAAAGAGAAAACAAAATAAAAGCAAAACAATAACTATTAGAGAGGGATAATAGAGAAGAAAAATGAATAAAGAGTGAGAAAAATATACAGACGTTGGAGTACTGAAATTTAGAAGTACTGTAGAATGATGAAGGTGAGAATGATGTGTTGAAAACAGAGGTAAATGAGTCGAAAATGGAATAACAAAAATCAAGATGATAAAACAACAGAGGATAACAAAAATGAAAGACTCGAGGCACTTGAATTATCCTTTAAAAAAATCACGAGGAATAAAGAGGGAGGATTCAGGGCTGACTTTCATGGACCACTCGACCTTAAGGACACTAGGAACTAGCTGGCTGGCAGGCAGGCAGGCTGGCATTTCATATATATATATATATATATATATATATATATATATATATATATATATATATATAAATAAAAGTGAACAAGGTGACAAAAATAAACAGAACGGACTCGACAAAAAACACTTTGAAATGTGAGAGAATAAAGAAAAATGGCTCAAAAGACAGCGATATTGACGTTGAGGAACCACTGAGTTCTTGAAGCGCAAGAAGGGAGGGAGGAGGAAATTCTTTAGCGTACGACTATAAACAGAATGAGAGCAGAGTAAAGTTGAGGAGAAAATATAGTAGAATAACAGCGAATAAAGACGAGAGAGTTAATTCTGACATTTAGCCTCGTGATAAAACGTAATACAAAATGACAAAACAAGTAAAATATTAAATAAAAACCAGACTCAAAATAATGCTTCATTCTAGTCTAAAAACAGCTATACTGTGAAAAATCTTTAAGGCAGTGTAATAATAATAAAAAAGGCGAAAATAAAGACTTGCCAAGAAAATCATAAACCATAAAAATATGAGAAAAAAATTACAAGAAATCAGACTAGAATCACAGACACAAGACTGAAACCATAACGGGTACTGACATTGAGGAACCACTCGACTCTGTAGACTGGAGGATTAGCTTGGATATCACACTCGAAGTACACGTCGTCTCCCTCCTTGATGTTGCTCATGTTGAGGTTCTGGCCAGCACGCAGGTGAAGCCTTGGCGAGTCTGTAGGGGAAGAGAGAGGGAGAGAGAGAGAGAGAATTACGGGGGGCGTGAGTGACAGGAGAGAGCGAGGGAAATAGAAGAGAGGGGAAGAAGAGGGGGCGATACTAGAGCGAGAAAGAAGTAGGGAGAGAGAAAAAGAGAGTGTGACGGTAGCGTGAGTAACGCGGAGATGAAGAAAGAAAGAGGGAGAGAGAAAAAATAAAAATGAATGGGGAAGAGAAGCGATGAGAGAACGAGAAGGAGTGGAAGAGAGAGAGAGAGAGAGAGAGAGAGAGAGAGAGAGAGAGAGAGAGAGAGAGAGAGCATGAATAAAACAAAATTATAAATGATGATAAAAAGAGAGCCATTGAAAGACCAAGACACACACACACACACACACACACGTCATAATCATCCCCCGCACCACCACCAGCTCCACAATCTGACCGAGGACTTTCACCCACATAAATCAGTCAACACTACACATATTTACTACTTAACTTTAATAGTCTGCAAGGGCTTTTCCACGTAAATAAGACCACCAACTTCTCTTAAATTTATCTCAGAAATGTCTTAAAGATGAACTTGAGTAAACTTGATATTTACAGTAGAGGAGGAAGGGAGAAATCGACGAGTGAAATATCAGTTTTATTTTTCTTAGCCGACCGTGATTATTTTCATGATAATACACACACACACACGCACACGCACACACGCACGCACACACACACACACACACACACACGCGAACGATAAACTTGCTCAATAAAGACAAAAAGAGAGAGACCAACATATAAAGGTAAATAAAGGCACAAAGGGATATAGAGAAATAAAGATAGAATGTAAACAAAGACGCAGGTACTCACAATATACTTCCAGCCTGCGGGAGTCCTCCACAGCGGCCGCCTGTAAGAGGGAGTTGTCCGCCCTACACGAGACCACAGCGCCGTTGTTCATCCTGGTGGGGGTCAGGTGCAACGTCGACCTGCTTACGTTCCCTTCCGCGAGCACCTGACACCAGACCAAGCGCTTAGTTACGTTCATATGTGTGTGTGTGTAACCTATGATCCGTTCACTACATCTGACACCACTGTTATCGCACCTTCAGTGTTATTTACCTGTATGTAATCAAGCCTTGTGAGCAGTGACGATAAAATGCTCGTAAACATGTGTGTTTCTCTATAATAAACACATCATATAATGTATATTTTATGTGCAAGTATGCAATGTTTACTTAATATACATATCCGTGACAAAAATAATGATTATCGGAAGCAAATGACAAGATCGGCGAGGCAACTGGAGGAAAATAATACACAAGGGCGTGTTTATATGCACTTGGTAAAATTATCTAAATGATTAATTAAACCGTGAACAATATTCAAGTACTCGTGTAAAGTATAAAATAAATAAGGGTTTTAAAACTTGTAGTGTTTATGCATAAAAAAAATATGAGTTTAGAACATAAGTGAATTCTATGTCTTACGGAAAATCTATCACAGACTTGCTAACATAACACAGACGTTCTTACTCTGACTTGTCAAATTAAGGGAATGTTTTTATCCTGTCTTATCAAAACTACGAAAACGTTCTCTACTCTGATATTTCCAAAATACGAGAACGTTCCCACCCTAGAGATTACAAATTTCTTGCAGTTTATATTGAAGGAGACACTAATCTAAAACTTTAAATTGACTCGTGAATCCCGAAGATAACTTTTATACTTAGATGAAGATATTTTTCCTCTTTATCAAGTACAGTAAAAGAGCGAATGCAGTGTTGTATAATCTCTGAGACTCACGTGGCTAAGGGGCGACTGAGAATGTCTAATTACTAGGTAGGGGGCGTTGAATTGTTCACTCTATTATGCAGGATGTGAACGGAAGCAGGAAGGACTGAGGAGGAAGAGGAGATTAGAGGGAGGAGGTTAGGAGGAAGATGCAGAGAAAGGAAGGGAAACGGGGCAGGAAAGTCGAGCGTCATAAGGGGGAAGAGAGAAGGCTTTGAGGAACGTTTGGAGTGAGTTGGTGCATTGTACCTCTGTAAGTATACCTTGTCCAGGTGTATCAGTGTACCTTCTCCAGATTTATAATTGTACAGTACTTGGCCAATTTATATGGGTGTACTAGGTATATGAGACTACTTGGTCAGGGTGTATGTGTATACCTGGTCAGAATGTATGAGTTTACCTGGTTTAGGTGTATGCATTTACCTGGTTCTTTGTGTCGGTCATGAGGTTGCCGTCGATGTACCAGGTGAGATCAGCAGATGGTTTAGAGCCTCCAGCCTCACACACCAGGGAGTACCTCTTACCCTCAGACAGTGGAGCTTTCCCTCCTAGGATCTTCACCTCCAGGGGCGGGACTGTAAAAAAAAAAAAAAAAATCAATAAAAATCAAGAGTATGTTAAAGACACACACACACGAAAGAACAATGCAGGTACTCTAGTATTTACAGGACATGTCGCTGGTGGAAGTCGAACCCGAGTCTCAAGTTCTAATGCCAGATATTTTTTTAGTTTTTTTTTGTACTCCGAACATTTATCGGTAAAAATGCGTGAGAGGCAAATTAGAGACACATACTCTATAATTTTGGCTGGAAAATAGCATGTGGATATTGGCTTAGGTTTCCTGGCAAGATTGTGTATAAGAGTAAAAATAGCGTTATCTTTTATTGGCGGTGAATGCGGGAGCAGATAAGGGAGAGTGCTGAGAGCTTTTGACTGTGCAAGTGTGAAAATAACAGATCTTTATCAGCAGAAATTCGTGATAGATATTCGAGATGCCTTTGGCCTTTGGTAGGATAAGGATGAAGGCGGTAAGTTATTTCTTACTGGTGAACGAGAGTTAAGGAGATAAAAGTTGCTTCTCGTTCTCAATACTTTTGATTGCGAAAGTTTGAAAACACGAACTTGAATACATGAAAGAAAAATATATGACAGTGATCCGTGCTTTTGCTTACAGGGTCATGGAAATACAAAGTTATCTCTGTTGGTTGGGAGTGATGTTGTTGTGGGGTGGGGCTAGAGAACCTCAGGCTGTAAGAGTGAAATTACTATACACTTCATCTTCAGTAGTTTAGACTGTAAGGGAGGCACAGAAGGTTATGAATTCTATTAAAGATTTAGGTGCGTGAATGATGTTATTATTCAAAGGATGTGTTAAGTTTTGTTAAGTCTTATTATGCTGAGTAATGCTGACTTTGCATATTTGTAAAGACAATATTGCATCAACTATTATGAACTAATAGGCGTTAGTCATATTGAGCTTTAACTCATCCTTACCTCTATGATAAGTCCCAAAAGGATTGAGACCCATTACGACTGAGGTCCACTAAGTTTGGGACCTAATCCTAATAGTTAGATAGGATTGGGATCGATTAAAAACTGGGGCAATTTGACCAATCCCCTATTTGAAGACATCAAAGTTCTGTTTAATGCATCCGTTAATTCCTCCCTTCCCCTTCCCCCTCCCCCCCTCCCCACACTCAAGGTGTAAACAATACCTGATGTGTCATTAAGAATCAAAGACTAGATCTTCCACGTGTCGTTTGCTTGTATTATAAGCAGGAAATAATCAGAAGGTAAATTTATATACCCGAGTCGACAAAAGCAAACATTTGAAATTTGAACGAGTTTTTAATTAAAAAAATATTTATGAAAAAAAATTGGCGAACATGCAGTGAACATTTGTAAAGGATATTACGAGTAGATTAAAGATTGTTTACCAGATGTAAAATGATAACACAATAAAGCTTGATACTGACCTCGATAAAGCTTGACAATGGCACTCATAACAAAGTTTCAATTTGTCACGAATAGGAAAATTAAACAATGGCACTTACAGTAAAACTTGACACACAAACACTCACAAAAGAAGTCGACACTAGCACTCAAAACAAACTTCAATCTTGGCACTTACAGCTCATGTCGAGGGTGACAGTGGCAGCGAGCGGCAAGGACAGGTTAGAGTTGCTTGCCTGACAGGTGAGAACTCGATACAGGTGTTGGCGGCTCAGGTTAGGTAAGATCAAGATGTTCCGGATGACCTGACCTTTGACCTCCTCTGCCACATCATCTAGTAGTGATCCCTCGTGCCACCAGGTGACCCAAGGCCGCGGTGACCCTGAGAACACACAGAAGCAAGAAAGTTGTCGTGAACAAACCACATTAATATTCTTTTACGGTGATGGGAGTTACGACCCCAAGACGGAGGCGGTAACTTAGTGTTTATCATAGTGATGTGATAATGACTAATATTAAATAACTGTTCAAGATTATAATAAGGTAATGATTCTCTTGCGTGAAGATTCTGAGTTTTACGGCTTAGTCATTTCAGGTTCTAATAACTGGAATAATTTTTCAAACAATTTGGTTCTACACAAGGATTGGAACTACCGATACAACGAATAAATTATCAAAACTAATCATTCATATGTATCAGGTATTAAAATATTGTATAAATATTAATATCTAATCATCGTAATAGTTTTTCTGGGAAACAATTTGGGGTCTCGGGGGTGATACATAGAGACAGTGCTGGGGATACATAGAGACAGTGCTGGGGATACATAGAGACAGTGCTGGGGATACATAGAGACAGTGCTGGGGATACATAGAGACAGTGCTGGGGATACATAGAGACAGTGCTGGGGATACATAGAGTATGACCAAAGACATTGACAACACATCAGTAGCTTCAGGAGTGACTAGATTGCATTAAGTTAAATTAGTAGAGTTTCATCGAGGAATTAGTGTAATGGTTTGTGTATGTGTTTGTACAGTGAAAACCTCTCTATTTAACGGACTATGTGGAGAGAAAAGTCCGTTAAATCGAGGATCCGATAGATATGAAAACATCATTTAACGAACTACATAAAAATGAATAGTCCGTTATATCGAGGGATCGTTAGATGTGAACCCCCTCCATCTAACGGTTTATATGGAGAAAGAAATCCGTTATATGGAAATTTCACGGTTTATCGACATTATTATAATTTTCCTGTAAGAGCTGATCACTTATAAACAAATAAAAGAGAAGAAGAACATTAAGAGAAGAAATAATAAAAGCAGAAATATCAGGGGGAAAGATAACACGAAAAAAATAATTTATATGAAGACGGAAAAACACACACACAAATATACCCGAGGTCTTATGTGCGTGGTTATCCTCTATCACAGATTCAATTTGCATGTATCATGTCTGGCTTCCAAGGCATTCAAAGCAGACTGGCGCAGGTAAGAGTCTTTCACCCAAAATATTTTCCCTTCCTGACCACCAAATGTCGAAGACTACCATCACTATCACCTTAAACTATACTAGGGGGAGAACCTTCCTCTGTTGCCACTTGTTTATACAGAGGAGTAGAGATAAACAATAGATAAACAAAGAGAAAACAACGTTGCCTCGATAGGGATATACACAAGGAGGTGAGGAGAAGAGGAAGTCAGGGAAAAGAGAGAGAGAGGAAGATAAAAATGAGCGATAAAAGATGTAGGAATTGAAGGTTAGTGTGAAGTGTGGTGATTACTTGGCGTCTCTCAGAGTGAAGTTGGAGTGTTAATGTGGATGTGTGAGGGTGAGAGACGAGGGGGTATGGGAGAGAAATAATGAGGGAAGGGGGGGGGGCGTGGTGTGAGAGAGACAAAGGAGGTGAGAGAGAAAGAGGATGGGAGAGGGAGTATGAGAGAGAGAGAGAGATTAACATTTTTCCCGATCGTGCCTGGACGGACGAGAGCGTAGCCAATTAATCTCTTGCTTACCTAATATGGAAAACATTGTGTGTGTGTGTGTGTGTGTGTGTGTGTGTGTAAACCGCATCACTTCACCCCGAAAATTTACTCTGTTGATCTCCCGCCCACTAAGACTCCACGCGGCGATGTATTTTAATCTCGTTGTTATTTTATCCGTTACGACAAAATCTGAAATGTTGACATCCTTGTGGTGGTGTTAATTGCTAGGTACACAGAGGGGGAACAGTTTGAAGACCAGGAACTTAACCAAACCAGAGAAACATAAAGTTGCAATAATGTAAACAGTCATTACGATGCAATACACTTGGCTTCCACACACGACACGAGAACACAGAAACAGGATTAACAACGTTGCTGTGATGGAGACGTTTAATCAGGGGAGTTGACACTACTATTATTACTCCAACTTAGTTTCAGAATGATTTTAATTGGAATAAAACGTTCTATAATAATTTTGAACTTACCTTGAAATGATGAAGTTTTATTGTTATTTATAGATAGAAGCGATACTTTATTTGTAGGCAAGCTTATAATTATTTATCAATTTGACTTCTGAATTAATTTCCTATGTACACACACACACAGACACACACACACACACACACACACAGACACAACCCTGTAGTCATATTCATCATCCATTGTATTTTGTCTTTTCTTTCGGATCAACTAAAGTTCTCCTGTTAAACTAAGAGCACTTCCGAGTTAACAAAACACACGGTCTTTATCCTCCTGAGACAACAGTCGGGGTAAAAAACAGAACCTTTACTCTGGGTCCCTGGTGTGTGGTCATCAGGGAACATGGCCACGTCCGTCCCCACATAGGTTGGTGAGCTCCATCAAGAAGGCTCGCTTTTACGGCCCAGTCAGTGATTCTCTGCCCGTCCCCCAGGCACCGCACTTCCTCCTCCTCACTGTGACCACCATCTCCTTCCTGCCTATGTCTTTTTCTCTATCAGTTTTATATATATATATTGGTCTTTATTTGGCACACATACACACACACACACACACACATATATATATATATATATATATATATATATATATATATATATATATATATATATATATATATATATATATATATATATATATATATATATATATATATACCGATTCACCTCATTAGTTGCTAGATAAAGTCCGTTTTTCACTTCAAAGTAACTATTAACAATTACATGCCTTCGCAATATTTATGATAGTCTTCAGAGAGCTAAATTCACTGTGCTATTCTCCGTACTCATCTGGTAACTATATGCTGGTATTGTGATATTTTCTCGTACATCCGTCACTCTAACACTATTTTTAGTGCTGTGTAAGAGAGACTGTTTGTTGTTTAATATAGTCTAGTAATTCTGCTTTGTGTAGGGTATGTGTACCTGGATAAAACACACATAAATGTAGGTGTATACGAGGTACTGTATACTCAAATGCACTTGCATGAATATATTATACGTGATCACACACGCTAGACACAAATTTAATCTACTGTAGTCAAAGTCACACACACATTTTCTTACGCACGCATGCACCGTCTTCAGCCTTCATGGGGTGAGGACGTCTGTACTCGGCGCTGCCCGCTAATGTGCCCGTGGTCTTTTAGGCCATGGAGACAGCTGCCAGCATGGTCTATCGGGCCTTCCCCATCTCCTCCTCCTCCCCATCTGGATTTATCAACATCCTCCCACCAACAATACAGTGCAAAGATTGACGATCAACTCACAACTGATAAACACAAGAGACAATTTCAACTCGAAAGAAAGAAACAACTGTTAGAGTGACAATCAGTTCTTAGAGGTCAATGTTGACCTGACGCGTGACACACCCAGGGTCCGCTGTACACCCATCACCACTGGATGAACAGACATAAGAACATAAGAAAATAAGGAGCCTGCAATAGGCCGGTTGGCCCGTGCATGGCAGCTCCTGTCGAGAGTTACTACTACTCTCTATCATCCATGAATCTATCTAGCCTCCTTTTGAAACTTTCCAGAGTTCCCGCACTTACTACAAAGTTGCTAAGCTTGTTCCACTCGTCCACCACCCTATTTGTGAACCAGTTTCTTCCTATCTCCCTCCTAAACCTAAACTTATCCAACTTAAATCCGTTGCTCCGAGTCCTATCCTGCTCGGATATTATAAGAACTTTATCTATATCCCCTTTATTGATTCCTTTCACCCACTTAAATACTTCTATCATATCTCCCCGCACTCTTCGTCTTTCTAGGGAATGCAGCACAAGAACAAAATATACCATACAGAAAAATTAGGTCAAATAAGAATGAGCCAAGGTGGATGACCAGAAAACTTAAACATGACATAGGAATAAAGAAAGGAATATATAAGAAATTAAAGGGAAGGGAGGAGCAGCTCAGAAATAGGTATAATGAACTATCTAGGAATGTTAAGAAAAATGTAAGGAAAGCAACGAGAGACTATGAAATCAAAATAGCAAGAGAATCCAAGGCGAATCCCAAGGGATTTTTCCAGGTATATAGAACAAAGATCAAGGACAAAGTTGGGCCTTTAAAGTCAGGGAGGGGAGAAGTGATAAATGGCAGTGAAGACATGAGCAAAGCATTGAACAGCTACTTCTTATCAGTTTTCACAGAAGAAATTTGCGATGAAATTCCAGAGGTGGAACTGATATTTAAGGGAAAGAAAGAAGAGAAATTGAAGAATATCACTATCAGAAAAGAGGATGTTCTTAAGAAGATAAATAAACTAAAGAAAACAAAATCCCCAGGACCGGAGGAAATTTTCCCTCGAGCCTTGAAAGAGTGTAGGGAACAGATTAGCGGACCCCTCGTAAACTTATTTACAAAATCATTAGACACCGGAGTTGTCCCAGACTTGTGGAAACAGGCAAATGTAGTACCCATATTCAAAAAGGGAGACAGAGCATCAGCGTCAAATTACCAGCCGATCAGTTTGACGTCAGTAGTGGGGAAATTTCTTGAATCAATTATAGCAGATAGCATCCGATCGCATCTAGAGAAAAGCAAACTAATCTACGGCTCGCAACATGGGTTTACAAAGGGAAAATCTTGTCTAACAAATCTGCTGACGTTTTTTAGGAAAGTCTTCGAGGTAGTAGATAATGACGAAAATTACGATGTTATTTACTTAGACTTTAGCAAAGCATTTGACAGAGTCCCGCATCAGAGGCTTCTGAGAAAAATTAAGGCTCATGGTATCGAGGGGAAGTTTCAAATTGGATTAAATCATGGCTCACCGATAGAACGCAGAGGGTCAGCGTAGATGGTGTTAAATCTGAGTGGGGCCGTGTAACCAGTGGGGTTCCCCAGGGGTCAATACTAGGCCCACTCTTGTTCATGATCTAGATACTGGGATCAGCAGTGACATAAGCAAGTTTGCGGATGATACCAAAATAGGGCGGCAGATTAATTCAGGGCAGGATGCAAATGCATTACAGAAGGATCTAAATAAACTGCAGGGGTGGCCTGAAAAATGGCAAATGAAATTCAACACCAGCAAGTGCAGCGTACTTAATATTGGAAGAACAAATACTGATAATGTATACAGCCTTAACAACATCAACCTAGAGAAGTCGACTTGTGAAAGAGACCTAGGGGTACTTGTTAGCCCGGACCTACGGCCTAGAAAACGGTGCGTTAATGTTCGAAATAAGGCAAACAGAGTATTGGGTTTTATATCTAGAAGTGTAAGTAACAAGAGTGCAGAGGTCTTATTGCAACTATATCTTGCACTAGTCAGGCCGCACCTCGATTATGCGGTTCAGTTCTGGTGCCCCTATTATAGAATGGATATAAATTCACTAGAGTCGGTGCAGCGAAGAATGACAAAAATGATTCCGGGACTTAGAAACCTTCCATATCAGGATAGGTTAAAGAAACTTAACTTGCATTCCCTAGAAAGACGAAGAGTGCGGGGAGATATGATAGAAGTATTTAAGTGGGTGAAAGAAATCAATAAAGGGGATATAGATAAAGTTCTTATAATATCCGAGCAGGATAGGACTCGGAGCAACGGATTCAAGTTGGATAAGTTTAGGTTTAGGAGGGAGATAGGAAGAAACTGGTTCACAAATAGGGTGGTGGACGAGTGGAACAAGCTTAGCAACTTTGTAGTAAGTGCGGGAACTCTGGAAAGTTTCAAAAGGAGGCTAGATAGATTCATGGATGATAGAGAGTGGTAGTAACTCTCGACAGGAGCTGCCATGCACAGGCCAACCGGCCTATTGCAGACTCCTTATTTTCTTATGTTCTTATGTTCTTAAGTTAAGTTTCTTTAACCTATCCTGATATGGCAGGTTTCTAAGAAGCCAAGAAACACTTCAAACTATATCAGGAGATAAATGCGGACTCCCTACTCACCCAGGTGAGGAATTATGAATTCCCAACTGCTGTACATCACATGAGGAATAGGAGCCATCTCCAACACCCTGTGTGAGCTGAAGGACCTACCCGAACCACGTGGTGGATGTGCTAAACATCTGCAGCTGTAGTGAGGGAGATGACCTTAGCACCTAGGTACGACACGACGGCCATTCGAACCAATACCAGGTCACAGGACTGTTTACAAGACCACAGTACCAGATCTATAGTTAACCTACATGTTGACTCAATGTTCCTTATTTTTTTTGTACTGAAAGCTTCTGTCAATCAAGTGACCCACTCCCCAGTTTCACCATATGTAACTTATCTCTGTTTATTGTATATTTTCAGCCTTTTGGCTGCCATGTTATCTAAGTAAGCCGTTAATTAATTATTATTGTTATTATTATTATTATTATTATTATTATTATTATTATTATTATTATTATTATTACACAAACAAACAAACAAACGCGCGCGCGCTGGACATTGCACCAGCAGCAGTTCTCCCTCAGGTAAGACGGCAATTCCCTTAAGCATCAATAACGATGACAGGCGCGGCACATTTCTCAAGCTTTTTGAAGATTTTCAATTCCACAATCTTGAGAGATCTCTTCAAATAAATTTTTGGCATCGACATTTAAAAGGTGTGAGGATTTTGAATGCACTCAATAAAGATTTTCTCCGCAGAATTTTATTGTCGGGACACTGACATTTCAAATACTTTTCACAGCAAATAGGAGAAACGTGAATGCTTTGAGGGGTGGAGTCCGGCAGGTTGGCGTGACGTAATGGTCTGCACGCTCACACATTCTTACATACAATTTTGAGATATATATATATTAGATGAATTTCGCCACTGATTATATTGATAAAATCGTTTCAGAATTAGAGGGGATTATTATTATTATTATTATTATTATTATTATTATTATTATTAATTTTCATTATTGTTCTTTTCATCTAACAAAATCATACCTCGCCGCACTGTAGGCTAAAAGGTTATACTATACCATTCCGTGAAAATCCGCTATTAGTAGATTTGACCCTTAATGCTCTCAGTCTGGCCAATAAGCCAACTCCCTGGATCATGGAAAGGCGACATGCGAATAGAGAAGACAATAAGCTCAGTCCTGCCTGCACAGATCTCCCAGGGCCGGATATTAAACACAGCATTGACGATAAATGATGGAGATTAATTTCTACCTAAGGAGACGACCCTCGACTTTATTGATAGGTAGTCTTGGTGTTATTTTTTCTTTGGAGTAGTTGGGTCGTTATCTGCATGTTTATGTTTACGTCTCTCGTATTAATTACCTTTTATGGTTATGTGAGTTAGTGGCGCCATGACACACACACACACACACACACACACACACACACACACACACACTCTCTCTCTCTCTCTCTCTCTCTCTCTCTCTCTCTCTCTCTCTCTCTCTCTCTAACAAGCTGCATTGTGACTAATCCACCTTGCCATTGACAAAGGGATAAACTCAATGGCCGTCTGACAATTACCATGCACAATCCTTTAATATCTTGTCTCCAACATGCAACCACCATTACCTTCTTATGAGACCAATTTGTGGACACAGGATTGATCGATGCCACGAACTTTGTCTGCAGTATACAGCGATTGTCGGCACTGTTGACCTTGTACTTAGAATTGTTTTTTTGTATAATTAATATTACTCGTATAATTATAATAATAATATGAATAATATTATTATTGTTATTATTATTATTATTATTATTATATTATTATTATTATTATTATTACAAGTACTGTAATATTTAGTGTCATTCAAATGATTGCTGTCAATAATGTGTCCTCAACATTGTAATTTGATTGTTATTATAATTGATGTCCCAATTATCAAAGTCTCCGGTATTACAGTATTATTACAGCACTTGTGATTTCTCCAATTATGGTTATTATTAGTTAGGAATTTCGTTTGACATTAAGTAATATGATTTGCTCATATACGTATGAAATCGAATTAATTCACATTTCTTAAGTTATCGCTCAATACAGTCATATATATCAGCGGCCAAGAGTTAAACATCCTGAGTTCATGCTTACCTTCAGTACAGTCACCTTCACTTTTGGCAAGTACTCCCAGTGACCTTTGACCTGCACTAAGTTCCTCTAGTGAACCTATTTACCTACGAATCACCCCTTTGTTTTTGTGACCCTTGACCCGTGTTACGCCCCCTCTTGACCCCTTACCTGTGACTTTTGGCGTACCTCCTGTGAGTGTTAGCTTTTGTTACTTACCCCCGGTGACCTGGCAGGTGAGGGTGAGGGAACCGCCCACGGGGTAAGGCCCGATGACCCCGCTCACCTCCAGTCCAGCGCCGCTCAGGATGCTGACGCGACGAGGAGGAACTGTGGACCAGAGACAACCAAGTCTTAATTGTGTGTGTGTAAGGGCAGCTGGTGACACCTATGTTGTTTTATAATTTGAAAACACCTGTGTTTATTCCTACTCTGGTAATATTTGTGTATGGTAATCATTTCATAACACCCATTTGTCTTAGGTAACTTAAGACACACCTTTAGTGGACGATACTAATTAACAAACAAGTATATCTTTATCACCTGTGTGATATACTGTACCTAATACCTGTGAAGTAGTCACTTGATACATAGCCTGTTATCAGTTGACAAAACACCTGTAGAACAGCAGTATATGAACACAGGTGTAGAATAATCATATAAGGGGTTTTCACATTACATACACTTGTAAAACAAAGTTACTCTCAGATAGTTATTCATCAGAGATAAGTTATTGTGTTATGTGATATTGAGAGATGGAGAGATGTAAGGAGAAAGAGAGAGAATGTGATTGCCTTGCCCCACCCTTGGAAGAACCACCGTGAGAGAAGTGAGAGAGATGACCTTTCTCTCACCCAAGGTCCTCCTGCTTGTGGCCACACACTCACTCTCTTACACCCGTCTGCCTCAGGCTCTTAAACTGCGCACTGATTTTCTTGATTGTTAGCCATCGTTTCTTTCTTGTTTTTCTAAGTCAAATTCTATTTTCTTTACCGTCCTCCGTGTTTGTCTGCCCCCCAACCAGTGTATATACCTACTCAAGCGAAATTCATCCTTTTAACTTTAGTTTATTCATTTTTTTTGTGGCAGTAAATCCAGAAGGAAACCACACTGACTTAACACCAGTTCTCGTCATTTATCTTGCTTTCAATTTATTCCTCCACGTTTGCGATATTCCCTTGTGTATAATTCGGAGAGGTGAGGCTCATTCTTTTAACCTGGTATACTGCTAAGTGCAAACAGTTGTCACCTGCCTAGCTCATGTGACAACCAGACCCAACTTATAAAATTATTTAGCCAATGATTCGGAAGTTGGAGTCGGGAGTTGGACACTTGGAGGTGAACAGATAGACACCAGCCAAAATACCTGGGAAGTAGAGTGAAGCAGAGACCTTCTTGCTTTTTACCTCGGGATACGGTGACATGGACACAATTGAACCTTCGATTATTGTAATTGTTGAAAGTTACTGTGGTGTAATTTTTTTCTTTTCTCGTTAATTCAGATGTTGAGCTCATGTGGGGAGGTTTATTAACAACCCGATAAAGTTTGTCTCGCGACCTGGGAACTGACCGTCTCTTGTATCAGTGTCTTCCATGTTGCAGTAGTCTGACAGACCTCGGGACACTCCTTCGTGTTCACTTCCCTTTAAACCTAGTACTGCTTCTCTCTCTCTCTCTCTCTCTCTCTCTCTCTCTCTCTCTCTCTCTCTCTCTCCCTCTATCCTTCCTTCCTTCCCTGTATACCTCGCCTTTGATCTCCCTCTTTCAGTTCATTTTTCGTTGCTCATCTCCTCGTCTTCCACTTACCTCACTTACACTTATTGATTATTCCATTATTAAATTTCCAAGGTATATATACACAAATATAATCAAATATAACTCACGATTAGATACTTAAAACTGACTCCGAATTATATATTAAAAGTCAGTGAGGTAAAAGTATAACTAATGATATAGGAAAATAATAGATACTGAATTATGTTATTTTTATCATCTTATATCCCTGGGTCCTCGTTTTCACTGCGAACTCTCCTCTCAAGATGAGCCACTTGTAGGAGCTTCCCCAAACGCGAGAGTGTCCTTGATTGCCTTCACATCAGCGAGTGTTAAGGACTCCGCATCAACACTAGGACGTCCTATTTGTAAGGATGGTATTTGGATCTATATTCAATTGTTATTATAGGGACTCGGCTCAAGACCTAACTTAACCCAAGAAGCTAAAAAGAACATTAAAATGACTTGAGAGGATAGTCAGCTGGTGGAAGATATAAGCAACGAGAGACTTTGGATAAAGAAGATAAGAGAAGATAGAATTAAGAAGAAATGAAGACAAAGAGAATAAAGTAAGAATCGACCAAGAAGGAAACTTAACTGAATACAACAACAGCTTCAAGCATAATCATCCCACAAGATCGAGACTCAGGTTGGTCAATCAACCAACTATTCAGGTAATGAGGTAATGACTACTTTGCCTAACCTTACTCAAACTGGATCCGAAATCGGCATCAAGGTCCTATAAATATCGACTCATCTTATCAATACTTGAAACTTTTCTCGCTAAAGAATTCCTTCACTATTCAGTCTCCTTCACTCGAACTGCAATCAGCACTTGAAGGGACAATGGTGAAGACAAAAGAAAGAGGATAGAGTAAAAAGAATTGAAGACAGACAATTGGAAAGAAGTTTTAAGTGAAAGAAAGGAAAGAAAATGGACTTTAATCGATCGTGGAACACCAACAAGCACATGATGGTCCCCGTGACATGAGATTCGAAAACATTTATTGAGTGACCCGCTCGAGTTGAAGCCATTACCTATAACATAACAGACTAGCAGGTATAGTATTGTTCCAAGATAAATGTGGTCACAGATGAAAATTAGTAGAGAAAGAGAAAAAAAACACCCTCAGTTCTTCACTGTTACTTCAAGGAGCTGTTAGGAAATGCAAGGTCCTATTACTACAGGATTTGATGAGGAAAGGTTGAACAGACACAATATTTTTTTATTTTTTTTTTACTTTCTGATTTTGTTTACTTGTCTGTCAATCTGTCTGTCTGCCCGTCTGTCTGTCTGTCTGTCTGCCTGCCCGTCCGTCTGTCTGTCTGTTTGTATGTTAGCCTGTTTATGTTCTCCTTTTGTCTCTTGGCCTGCCTGGTCTCCTTCTCTGTCTGTCTATCTGTTTCTACCTCTGCTTAATCATCTGTCTGTCTGCTTATCTATCTGTCTGTGTATAGTATGTGTCCCTCTCTCTCTCACCCCTCCGTCTCTCCTTCGCTTCCTTCCTTCCTCCCCTCCATGGCAACTTCTCGACTACTCACCAACAACCAGAAGCTTGACCCTAAGGTTCCTGGTGGGGGAGGAGCCGAAGTCGACCCTACAGCGGTAGTGGCCGTGATCTGTGGCAGCCACCTCGTCGATCACCAACCCAGACGGCGAAGACATCAGGTCGAAGTGTGCTCGACCACCCAACTCTGACCAATGTTTCGATCGACCCTGTGGACCAGAGCGTGCGTCGATGCTGTGTACAGAGAAAGAGACATAACACGCATGAGAGTTTCATTATGGATTCCTGCGTGTGGCATCAAAGGCAGCATTTCAGTCATGGCTTTCTATGCATGGGAACTAAATTACCTTTATATAAAAGACTGATTACATGTAGACAGAGAGGGAATTTACCAAATAAATAGAAAAACACATCATTGATTACTACTCGTGGACAGTCACCAATGGTAATGATCACTTCAGGTTTTGGTGGAGAGAATCAATGGATATCTAAAATACATTACAGAATCGCGACATTAATTGAGGAATGCCAATCTCATGAGGTAAAGAATTTATGTTGAGCAGTCGACAAAATTAACTCGATCACGTGGCAAGACTGACAGAAACGTATGTGTATTTGATATATGGCTGGTGAACATTTTTTTTTTACTATATATTATACCAATAAACCTAAGTAATTTTGAGTAAGTAGATTATACAATACTAGTGCCTCTTACCTGTCTGACCCAAGAGTAGAAGTCTTGGGAATTTTTACAATAATATTATGTCTAGTAAACTTAGTATATCGAAAAGTAATTATTAAATTTTTCATAAGAATCAAAGTTTACTGAGATATATTGTTGATATTAAAGCATACAAGATAAAGTAAAATAATGTTGTTTCAGACTTTATATTGTTAAAATTTTAAGTGAAAATATCTTGCTATCAACTCATTGCAAATTGGATTATGAAATGTGAGTTATAGTGTGGGCAGGCAAAATAGTGGCTAGATAATTTTCCATAACACCAAATAATATTGTATAAGAGTTTGCTAACATTGTTATAAAAATTTAGTACAGTAACCCGGAAAGGTAATTTTTTGTGGTAAGAATTATAATGGTTAAAAAAACAAAACGGAGGACGATGTACCATTTGTTTCCTGAGTGACTCCAAACCCACATATTAAATAATTTCTCTTTCAGAATTACCATTATTAGCGACAAAACAGGACTAACTCTCATAAAATCTGCGCCAGGTAAGCTAATGACAGCACTAATCCCCGGGGATAGTTAATAAAGCCTCTGAGTGTGATTACACAGTTGATTACTGGGACTTAATCTTGTGAGTGTGTGTCATAAACCAAGGACAAGATGTTTTAGGTGCTTGGGTCCGCTGTCTTAATAAACTGTCATCTGGGAGTTAACAAACACAACCCGAGTTTATCCCAGGACAATTTATAGCAGATAAAACTCTTGGTAACTCATCAAATACAAGGAAATTGCGCGTGATTCCTATCCTTGTCTGGGCAAATCTCTTGAGACGGGAACATTACCAACGTTCGGATTATTTGTAAGAACCTCCTCGTGTTCCTTATATATGACGAGTTTTGTATTTTCCTTTTCTTCTCCTTAAATGTTTTTAATTCATTTTAAAGCTGAAATTCATTTGGGATTTACATCAAAGGTGTTTTGAAAAGGTTTCCGTGATGGTGAATTAGCATCCTATCATCAAATGACACGACTTGAAGACTGAAGGTAAAAGACGCGTAAATATGATCTTGACTTAGGAGCTGAAAGAGCCGACCTTCCTCAGCGGCGGCAAGATGTGACCTGTGCTTCATCACCCTCCGCCTCACCTGTATAGAGGAGGCACACCGCAGATAATCTTATTATACACCTGGCAATGGACGTGGGAACCAATTACCCACTAATCCCTTCAGCCTCTAGCAACTCGCTCGACCAAGGACTGTAGATGAGCTTGTCAGAGTTCCTGTTTCTCGCCTACCACATATTTTGAACGTTAAATATGTCTCAAGTCCTTCCCTCCTTCGTTCACTTTCCTGTTCATGAATATTTAAAGAGGGAGGCGATATATATATATATATATATATATATATATATATATATATATATATATATATATATATATATATATATATATATATATATAACGTACTTTACCCAGTCTAAGATCGGGTTAAAACTCCGAGCGTACAGGCAGGCACACACACACACACACACACACACACACAGGGGTTTTCCTTCTGCTTAGCCATCAGAGGACAGTTAGACGATATGGGAAGACGACTAGTTAACGGAAATGGCAATCTAAGACTAACGACAGCTACAGAATTCCAAAAGCAATTAAAATAAATAGACAATCTAGACCAACGTTATTGTCGGCTGTGTGTATCCCCCTCCCCACCCTCCCCCCCGTTGGTCAGGAGTGGGCGCTAGGCTTTATGTTATATAACTCAGCAAATGGAATCAACGATGATCACTTTTTACTGAAAGGTGAGGCGATAATATTGGAAAATGTTTCATCTGTCACTGCCCTGATTAACAACAGCATCATCCCTCACCAGTAGCGGCTGACTGTGACGAAAAAACCCTGTCACATGACGACTCTGAAACTCTCTCCGTTCATTGGTCGGGTGGAGAGGTGTGTATTGGTTAGAGCTGTTCATTGGTCGGGTGGAAAGGCGTGTATTGGTTAGAGCTGTTCATTGGTCGGGTGGAAAGGCGTGTATTGGTTAGAACTGTTCATTGGTCGGGTGGAAAAGTGTGCATTGGTTAGAGCTGTTAATTGGTCGGGTGGAAAGGCGTGTATTGGTTAGAACTGTTCATTGGTCGGGTGGAAAAGTGTGCATTGGTTAGAGCTGATAATTGGTCGGGTGGAAAGGCGTGTATTGGTTAGAACTGTTCATTGGTCTGGTGGAAAATATTCTGGTTAGAGCTGTTCATTGGTCGGGTGGAAAGGCGTGTATTGGTTAGAACTGTTCATTGGTCGGGTGAAAAGTGTGCATTGGTTAGAGCTGTTAATTGGTCGGGTGGAAGGCGCGTATTGGTTAGAACTGTTCATTGGTCGGGTGGAAAAATGTGCATTGGTTAGAGCTGTTCATTGGTCGGATGGAAAGGCGTGCATTGGTTAGAGCTGTTCATTGGTCGGATGGAAAGGCGTGCATTGGTTAGAGCTGATAATTGGTCGGGTGGAAAGGCGTGTATTGGTTAGAACTGTTCATTGGTCTGGTGGAAAGGCCTGTATTTGGTTAGAGCTGTTCATTGGTCGAGGAGAAGGGACGTGAATTGGTTAGACATGAGAAGCTGCATTAGCTATTTAAAGAGACGTGCATTGACATGAAGTGGCGTGCCTCATCTCATGTGGCTGCACTCCAATAAATGGTAGTGTTGACGGTCGTGTGTCGGTCACTCTCTTGGGCATCAGATTCCCACACACACACTACTACTTTTTTCCCGACAGAGAGATATATTACTCCCAATACTATTACAGGACGGATCCAATGTTTTGTTCGACTTTGTTGTTTTTGTGGCGTGTCTTCATATTTGCAATTGAAATAAGGAAAACAAGATTGAGTTACCTTTACGTTGTCAGGATGTAAATGTTTTTTTTTTTTTTTAACATTCGAAATATATTTATATCAGTCTGTGGGTGGGTGAGTGAGTGTCAGTTTTTATGGATGAAAAGGTGAGTCACGTATGAATGTATCAAAATAAGAAAAGTGAGACAGTGATTTAAGTCGTGAATAAGATTTGTCAGAATACCCAGTAATGTTTAGAAGAAAAATCGAATTATCTTGTGAAATATTTGAGAAGCTGTTTTTTAACGATAATTACTATCCAGGTGTCTTGATAACGTCAGTGAATTTATACAGGTGTCAAAGCAGGACAATCCACAGGTATACTAATGAGTCTTTGCTTACCTTGACGTTAGGTTAGGTTAGGTTAGGTTACGTACGACGGTACAGGTTGGAGTGGAAGAAGTGGGAGAGACACTACATGACGTCACTGTGGATAAGGACCAATTAGCACAGGTTAATCCCGAGTACGAGTGGATTCTGCCAAATTGCCATCTTGTGGAAGTCAAGATATCTATCCTGTTTTACCAGGAGAATGTTACAATAGTCTCTCTCTCTCTCTGTATATATACTGTATATATATATATATATATATATATATATATATATATATATATATATATATATATATATATATATATATATATATATATATATATTATACGTGTACTCTTTTCGCTCTCAGTTTAATCTCTTGAGAAGAAAGTAAGTGTCTTCTCTTATCTCCGAGGGGAAGAGAATGAAGACGATTTTTTTTTACTCTAATCTGACGCTGCTGGTGTTGGCCTTTAACCCCCTCTTTTATCTTAGTCTTCTTCCTTCCTTCCTTCCTTTTATTTTCTTTATTTCCCTCTCCTTTTTTCTTTCTCTTCATTTTGCATTTTTTTCTCTTCTTTTCCTTTATTTTTATTTCCTTTTTTTTTACTTAAATTTTCTCCTTCCTTTTTTATTTTTTCTTCTTGTTTAATTTTTCTTCTCCCTATCTGCTGTTATTTGTCCTTCCTTCCTCTTCTACTTCCTTCTCCTTTCTTCCTCTTCTACTTCCTTTTCCTTTCTTCCTCCTCTCCTTTCTTCCTTTTTCTTATTACCTTTCCTTCTTCTTCCTTTCTTATTCAGTCACACGGGCCCCAACTTTTTTCTCTATAATCCTAAACCCGTATCCTTATCCCTCCTCATACACCAACCCTCATCCTTATCCCTCCCTCATACCCTGACCCTCATCCTTATCCCTTCCTCATACCCTGACCCTCATCCTTCCCTCCCTCATCCCTTCCCTCATACCTTAACCCTCATTCTTATCCCTTCCCTCATACCTTAACCCTCATCCTTATCCCTTCCTCATACACCAACCCTCATTCTTATCCCTCCTTTATCTCATTCTCATTCTTCTTTCATCTCCTTATCTTTGTGACATTCACTAAGGAGGATCAAACAAGCTCTTCTCCCTTCCTTTCCTCTATTCTCTCTCTCCCCCTCCTCCTCCTCCTCCTCCTCAACAATGCATGGGAGCTGATGAGATGCTTCGAGTAGACCGCCTGCCATCCCCTCGCTGTTGTGCACTAGGTAATATTTCTTCTTCATATTATCATCATTACTATTACTATGTACCAACGAAGATCAAAGCCGAGTGAATATATGATGGGGTGTGGGTGTGCGGGTGT